AGAGAGTCTGCCTTCTGTTGAGCATAAGGCACGTACGCTCAAAAATTTTATTGGCTCTACCACGGTGCTGCGGAGCCAATGCGCTTGGAGACAGGCAAGCTAGGCTTACAAACTCAGGACCAGATTCCTAGTAACGAGCTGGACGTTGTCCTGTGTTCATATGAGAACGGTCATTGCGACTACTTAATTACCGGCTCAACACCATCACTCTCATCGAGAGACAAACAGCGACCGTTTTGCTGAGTGTCAATTTTCAATCTCCGTCTCTTCTCTGCATGCCCATATCCTACGGCGATCGGTGTCGCGACTCCAGCCGTGAATTAATAAAACGCTTAGCGAGCATCCGTTGCGCATTAAGCTCCGTCCTTCACTCGCTTCTTATAGTGCCTATTCCTACGAGCATCATTCGCGTCGTGGTAGTTTCTCTAGTGTTCCTCCATGGCTCGTTAAGCCTACGATAAAGAGTGCGGTCCTCGCTGCGGACTTCCTTAGATCCAAATTTGGAGACAGATCGAGGCTGCACAATGTCTTGAGTAGATAATCTAAGTGCAAGCCCAGTTAGGTCCACATCTTGTTGGGGAAGCGTGTTATGGGGCATGTATTGTGTTGCATTGTATCCACATTTGTAAATCTGAGATATACTTAAGTACTGGTATTGATGAGGACGATAGGATTCCATGAAAGGAGGTCATTGGAACACGCGGGCTGTTTGCTTCGCGTCATGCGTACATATAATATCATTATTGTACACGTTCAAACAGATATTCAAAATAAGTGAAGACTCAACGTCATGTGTTCAAATGTGACCAAGGACGATGGTCGTCCAAAAATTAGTACGAAACACACTGAGTCTCAGTCCGTTTTCTAGCCTTTATGAAATTCGGATCGTACAACGCACTATCTGCTGTAATCTGGCACTCATACAAGCGAGCTGATGCCAAAGAACAGCAAGAGTATCGACACAAAATTTTATACTGAAAACTACATAGTGGTTGGCATATATTCCGCACAGAAGTTGCTACAATGTCAAAACTATAATATGAACGGGTTTGGTAACTTGTCGTGATTTGAGTATGGAACTGACTGGAGTGTTCATTTTCCGGTATTTATTTATCAATATTTAAGTAACTTTAAGATGTCAAGTGTGATGTTTGTAGCATATCAAATGGCCTTTCTCAACGATACGCAACAACCAAGTACTTTGCCTTCACAAAAAATTTGGCTTGATTGCCCTAAATCAAAGAATGTCACTTCTAATGCGGCCCCCTCCGCTGCACGTGGCAGTCTGGGAGGGTGATATTGAGCTTGTACGTAATCTTCTGGACGATGTTTGTCCCGTGAGTGAACAGTCGGTAGACTCCAGTAAAGCCGAGGCTCTAAAAAACCTTCTAGAACTTAAAGACGTTCGCGGAAATTCAGCGCTTCACTTGGCAGTTCGCATCGTGCAACCCCATCAACAGGCAATTGTGAAGTTGCTTTTAGAGCGCGATGCAAGTGTTGCATCGCGAAACATTGACGGTTGGAGCTGTGCACACGATGCTGCCCTGTGCGATGACGAATTTATGCTGGCACAGGTTTATTTACAAGGCGAAAAACAGGTAATTAAGGCGCTGGAGGCGACACAAGAAACGTCTATGCAGGCGCTTGAAAAGTTGCCTGACTTTGAAGCAGAAATTTTTATTGAAGCTCATTCGTGGGTACCCATTGTGTCTAGTGTCCTTCCCTCAGATACGATCAAAATATGGAAACGAGGGTCGCAACTTAGAATTGATTCGACGCTGAAAGGGCTTGATGGGATAAAATGGAAAAAAGGCCAACTCAGTCAGATATATTTAGGGCGACATGGTGGAGACAGGGCGGGCCATGTAATAGTGATGGATCATCACAACAAGGTTTTCTATGACGTTTTTCAAGCTATGCACAACTCGTCCGTCGGAAATATGGACATGGCTTTGCACGTGATGTTGACGACAGCCATGTCTTCATCAAAAATGGATGTAGCTCACCTCGAATTTGTAAAGCAGAAGGAGGTGAAGGCAGGAGAAAATATTGACGAAAGCAAAAAAAAAAGTCGTAGTAAACTAAGAAATTGTCCGTGGCCTGGAACGACCTATAAAATGCAAAACGTCTCGATGGAAGCGCAATTTAGGCCGGCTGTAAGCTTAAATCGCAAAATGAAACGATTTTCTTCTGAGAAAGACACGCCGTTTGATGAGGTGCAACAGCTCGTTCAACATCTCTATTCGTCTGTGCCTTACGCCAAGGAGAATAAGGGGTCAAAATCACAGCAGAAAGATTGCAGTAGCTGTAGCAGCGACGGCAGCGCTAGCGATGACATTGCTGGAAACACAATCCAGCTTAAAAAGGGGCGTAAGGTTGAGATGCATTTGGATGTGATAGCTGGTGACTCGATTCGATGGGAATTCACGGGAAAGAGCAGTGACTTCTGCTTTTCAGCAACGTACTTCCACGAAGACCAGCTCGAGACAATATGTCGCAGTGACGGCGTCAAAAACGCAACGATTGTGGGGGCTTTTGAAGTCGAGCATACTGGCAGTTTTGTTCTTAGGTGGAAAAACACGCAAAAAGGTTTTAAATTTGACAGGAGCGGGATTGAGATCACGTACGATGTTGTACACACTCGGCCGGCTGACTTAGATCCGTCCGTCAATGCTGTTTCCACCTCTACATCAACCTCATTGGAGGTAAAGGAAGATAAAGATGAATCCAACAGTAGGTCCCACAGCGCCACTAAGCTTTCTGATGAACAGAAATGTGATTTTTTTCGGCAGCATAATCATTCTCCAAACCCGTCAACTGTCACAACATCATTCGTAGAGTACTTCATGCTAGATGCTCAAGAGCCAGAAGACTCTAGGCAGGATGGTGCAAAGAACAAGAGGACATTAATGTCTAAACTATTTGAGGACAAGACGCAGCAACAGCAGACTGCAATAGACTCACTGCCGAAAACGAGCGAAGTAGTCAAAGCTTTTGGTATGAAAAACACGTTTCGAAGTCTGACTTTAGTACCTGCTGCGCGTCGAGTTCGTAAAAAGTTTGAAGCCAAGGTTGTCATGTCGGAAAGCTTTCCTATTCAGCCCCGAGATTTTTTTCCAGTGATTGAGCTTCTTTCTACTACAGGAGAACACATGAAAAATCTGGAGGAATTCTTCCGAGTCGTAAGTCTTCGATAACTCTGATTTAATGAGCTGATAGGTATTGACCGTGTGTTTTTCGATTGTAGAAACTTCCCCCAGGATTTCCTGTCAAATTTGAACTTCCGATGATGTTCACCATACGTGTTGCATACACGTTTAACAAAATCACGCTAAGTTCCAACATAGATCCCGAAATATTTAAGATTCCAAGCAATTATCAAGAGGTGTTTACGTTGGACGAAGTGCGGTCGTAGTGGGGTACGATTTTACCCATTTACGTCTGCTTATGATACTGTGCTCTGCTCAGATGATGTCCGGCTCTACATCGATATTGTCCCAAGCCGTCTATTATGTTGGGCGGCAAGCTAAACCAGTTACCACGATGGAGACGTGTTTATATATTTGTTTGATAGCCCCATTTGCAAGTCATGAGGCTGCGCACATTTTGAGTCCACGTCTTCTTCTTTCTCAATAGGAGTTCAACCATATGGACTATAAACCGGAGTGATGGTAAGCATAAAGACCTAGAGTTGTATTGCAGCAGGTTTGTTTGTTTGAAGTAATAATATTTCGTACCATACCCGAGAGGCAGACTTCTCAGCTCCAGAATTGCAAAACTTCCAATTGTTGTATCGCCTCAATTAAATGAATATGCGCCGGTGGTGCATACATTCGACTTTCTATACAAACCTTGAATTACACTTTCAACTATTTCTAATATCATCCACTGAAATTAAGTTTGATAATTCTGAAATGATGTACTGCTATCTACAACGATGAAACCTATACTGTGATGTACAACGTATTCTTTTCGAGCCTATCTATCTATCCCTTTGTATTTCTTACAAAGAAACGACAATGACATCTGTGCTAGCTACCAAACATTCTTTTGAGCAAGACTCATATAGAGGCGCGACTCACGTTACGACTGTATGAGATTTGAGACTCCTTAGAACTGCGAGCCCTTTTTGTTACCTATACCTTTCTCATTAGCATCTTTCCAATCATCCCACGCACGGTCTCTATACGTTGCTTCCTCCACTAACTTTTCGTCGTCTTCATCACCATCTTCTTTGAGTTGATCGTATCTACGCGGCCCCTGTGGTACATCCCTGCCAATAGCGCAACAAACAGCGTCAGGTAAATCTCGAAATCAAGTTGAGGTTTGCGAATCAAACGTACTTTTCGCTTTTTTGCCTCTCTATCGCTTCTGCAGCCTCCCGATCCGCATATTCTTCCAATGTCATTGTGGGAAGGCGATGACCAGGCTTGAAAACACTGGATCGAATAATCTCGCGCTGCATTTCCATCTGCGAATTGATTCGCGTTATTTTCTGCGATCAAAACAAAGATAAATCAGCCTAAGCGTCGTAATAATTCCGTTAACGTTACGCAAAGCCATACAATTCCCTGATTTTGAAGTGGTGGTGGCGGTCTATGCTTTTCTGAAAACAAATCTTTTTCATCACTAGCCTCGTTTAATTTCAACATGGACTCGAGCATATCCCTTTCCTGATGTAATGATGCCTGCTCTTCCATACTTTTGACCACAGAGAGCTGAATGAACGTCAAAAGCTGCTCGCGCTCGATATCCTCCATGTCATCCTGACCCTGCCCACAATCATTCTCGTCTAATTTACTCTTGCGCCGCTTGATCACTTCTTGCAGTTTCTTTTCCATGTCGCTTTGCAACTTAAAGCGCTTGATCTTTTCGTCTCTAGAGATACAAAATTGTTTGCCCTCTAAACGCTCATACTGCTCGCGTCGTTTTGTCTCCGTAAGAAGACCAATACTTTCAGAACGATCTAAAAATTTGGTCAAGAACACGTCAGCCTCACGCAAGCATTTAATGCGGTACATGACGTTGCAAGTGTTGTCCGATGGACCCGAAGTCTTGTCACTACTTTGACCACGCTGAAAGAATGTCTGTTTTAACGTAAGCATGCCTAAGTAATATTCCAGACAAATCGCATACAATTGCGTATTTTGCAGCTCAAAAAACTGCTCGTTGGACGAGAGCACGCCATCTTGCTGACGCTGTTGAACGCATTGTTTCGTGTACATCAGAGTGCTGGTCAGCTCATCCTGAAATTCCTTCGAGTTAGGATCGCATATGGGTGTGTGAGGGCTATCAAGTCTCATGAAACGATGGTACGCTTCCTCATAGCTGAGGCGATGAGGCAGTGAAGAGGTCATTTACTGGGCGAGAACTGCACAATACAAAATTAAAGTAGAATACATCATGATTTGGAGATCACTTTTGTTTTTGACTATTTGTGGTAATTATCACTACCGACTTAATCAAATCGGATGTACCTGATACGGCATGTGTAGGCTGTATTCAAGAATGTGCTTCAGTCATGCTGTATCAAGGCTTACTCCTTCTTGCCAGTTCCTGTGGCCATGCTGATTTCACCGCGGAAACTCTGTACAAAGCCGAAGCCTAACCCAAGAAGCATACCAGTAAAAAGCGGGCGGTCCGAATCACGCTTGATGTAGGTGGGGCGCTTGACCGTTGTAAATAACTTTTGGTCAGCGGCGATGTGACTTTCCTTGTTGACGAGGCCAGAGTAAAATCGCGCCTGGCGAGTTATGCGAGCGGACTGGCGAGCGAACATCATAAGACTCTTTTGTGTCGTGCAGTTTTTTATGACTAATGATTACAATGTTGAGTTAATAGAGTATACTATTGTGAGATAGGGATAGTTTTCACAAGGGATTTTTATCCAATTATTTAATTTGAATAATCATTTAGCTTTCGTAAATGAAAGGAAGCCAGGCGTGCCATAGCTGCAACCCCGATACTATTAGAATTTGTAAATTATCGTCGATTTGATCCATAGTGAGCACACAAGGCTGCGAGCAGTAGTTATGTATCAGCTGATACCTAGAGGAAATATGGCAGCCTATCATTCAGCGCATGAAGCCGTGATTTTAAATTACAATTCTCCTCGCTTCGTTTGGTTTGTAGTATGTTATTAGAGCCACTACTATATAATACTACCGCATCATCCAATTCCATTTTCTGCCACACTCGAAGGCGTAAGGAGCTATATGATATAGTGATGTTCTAAATAACCTTCCTTTGGATAGTAAACAAATATTGATTTTTTATGTATGTAAAACACCGTGAACGACGCTGTGGCTTGGTGGGCTAGACATCAAGTTACAGCAGGCAACAGTTCGCTGTAATGATCAGCTTTTACCACCTTGATTAATTTTCGTCTACATTCATATCAGGCCTGACACA